TCTCCTTAATTTTAATTTCAAGATTTTTCAATAATTTTCAAAAAAATTTATTTATTTTCAAAATTTGCAATTAAAATTCTTCAAAATTTTATTGAAAATAATTGATTTTTAAAGCATTTCGTTAAATTTAAAACGAAATTTAAAAGAATTTTTTTCAAATTTTGAAAAATTGGATTTTCAAAATATTTTTATAGAAAATTTCTATAAATGAAAATTAATGAAAATTAGGTCGAAAAAATATCTTTATATAATTTTTTTAATTAATTTTCTCTTAATTTTTATTTGCAGATTTTTCAATAATTTTTTTTTTTTTTGATAATTCAATTATTTTCAAAATTTTTAATTAAAATTCTTCAAAATTTTATTGAAAATAATTTATTTTTAAAGCATTTTGTTAAATTTAAAACAAAATTTAGAATAATTTTTTTCAAATTATGAAATTAATTGAATTCTCAAAATATTTTTATGGATAATTTCTAAATGAAAATTAATGAAAATTATCTCGAAAAAATATTTTTATATAATTTTTTGAATTAATTTTCCCTTCATTTTTATTTGCAGATTTTTTTCAAAAAATTTTTTTTTATAATTCAATTACTTTCAAAATTTGCAATTAAATTTCTTTAAAATTCTATTGAAAATAAATCATTTTTGTTAAGTATTTCGATAAATTTCTTAAAAATAGAATTTTAAATTTCAAATTGCAAATTTTGAAAAAAAATAAAGAAATTTTGTAACGAATTGAATTCTCAAATTCTAAGAATCATTTTTTAAAAATATATTTTAATACAATTTTTTGAATCAAATTTTCCTTAATTTTAATTTGAAGATTTTTTATTAACATTTTTTGAGAATCCAATCATTTACAAAATTTACAATTAGAATTCTTGAAAATTCGTATTTTAAAAAATTCTATGAAATACTTAAAAAATATCAATTATTTTCAATAAAAAAAATTTCAATTATTAAAAAACTTTTTAATTATATATAGTTCAGAAATTTAATTATCATGAGGAAATTATTCAAAAATAATTTGTTAAAGACTTGATTATAGTTTATTGATTAAGTTATTTTTTGCTCTATTAAAATAGAAATAAGTTGTATTAAATACCAAAAAAAAGTGGTATTTTGTTGCAATATTTCGAGAAAGAATATCGAAATAGTCGCATTTTTTGAAAATAAGTCGAAAAAAGTCCTAAAAGTTATACTACTCGAGTCTTGTTCAAATAACCGATTTCTTGGCAATTATCAAAGAAATATTGACTTGTATCAAATAATTTTTATTATAAATACACTGAAAACAAATTTATTTGATTCAATTAATCGATTACTTGTCTAATTATCAAATAAATATTTACTTGAATCAAATAATTTTTAATTGAAGTCAATTAAATTGTATTTGTTTCAAATATTGAAATTATTGATTCAAATACAATTTATTTGACTTGAACAAAATTTCGTTTGACTTAAATAAAAATTTTTTGATTCAAGTAAATATTTATTTGATTATAAACAAGTAATTATTTATTTGAATCAACCATTTTTTTTTTCAGTGCTTTTTTTCAGAAAAATAATTTTGCTCTTTTTTAACGGAAAAGCAGAAAAAAATTGTACCTAAAATTCATCCAATATTCGAAGAGTATTTGCGGTTGCAAATTGTAAATGTTGTAACTTGAATAAGAATGTGGTTAAAATTGTGGCGCAAAATAGCGAGGAAAAGTTGGCACGCGATGTTTCGTGAAAGTATACTTAAAGTCTCCTGCACCTTCGCAGGATGTCGTTGATCCTGTTTGCGTGCACCTTCTTTCAGAATTTCGTAGAACTAATAAGAATTAGATAAAGATATTCCGTCTAATCTGACTTCTTCGTGTTTTTAAGAAATAGGGTGTTGGAGGGGACAAAGAAAAATTTTAGATAGAGACGTTTCTTCTCTTAACGAGGGTTTAATATCTTGATTCACTTCTTTTTTTTCGCTTTATCCATATACATACATTACAGTGGAAAAAAGAAAATAATGGCAAAAAATCATTATCATCGCGATTGAAAGATAATTTATTGAAAGATTAGAGATTATGAATTATGAGAAAAGGAAAAAAAAAAATAAACAAAGTGTAACGGATTTTTAAAAAGAAAGTCTGTATATATAAGGATATATCCGACACGGATGAAGGTGGTAATTAACAATTGCACGGTGTATAAAAGGGATTGCCTACAAGCATAAATTTATGCATTGGCGTTTTTCGCACATATGAGCCCTCTAAAGTTTTGCATATGCATGGCTCGATTGATATGAATGCATCGTTGCATACTAAGAAACTCCCCTTAAACTCTGCTTTATCTGATTCTACTTTCATTATTTCATTCCTACTCTAATTTATATCGAAGAGATTTTTTTTCAAAAATCTCGCATCCTTTCATCAAAATCACTTTATGTGAAGTGGTCTCAAAATTTATGAGACAATCGCAATTTAATTTTACTTATTATATAATGAATTATTCACTAGTTTTTGCATGGAAAACTAGAAAATGTGTAGGAAAAACAAATTCCAAACAAGTATTCGCCAAAACTTTCAATAAAAGAAATTAATTTGTCATTTTAAAACGATGATAAGGAAAAAAATATTTACTCGGCACAACTATAAATTTCACTATATTAGCGAAAGTTTTAGTTGCTCCAATTAATACTTTCGCTAATTCAGGGAAACTTATCGCTGCTCCAGGTAAAAGTTTTTTTCCGTGTATTATTTATGAAAATAATTGAATTCTTGAAAAGAATTTTATTAAAATTTTTCAAAATCCTAATTAAATTCTTCTGAAGAATTTCTTTGAATTTATTAAAAATAATGAAGTTTCTTTAATAATTTTAATTGAAAATTTTGAATGCAATTGAATTTTATTGCTTTCAAGTTTCGAAAATAATCGTGTTTCTTAATAATCGAAATTTTATATTTAATTTTTGAATTTTATTAAAATTTTTAGAAAATAATTAGTTCTTTCTCAGAATTTTATTACAATTTTCTAAAATAATTTAATTCATTCAAGGAATTTTAGATACCAATAAAGGTTTTAACAATAATTGAATTCTTTCAAAAAATTTCTTTAATTCATTGAATATAATCAATTTTGTTAATATTAATACTTAATAATTTTACTATTAAAATTGTGTAACACTGAAAAAAATGTATGTAATTCAAATAACCGATTATTTGTCTATTATCAAATAAATATTTACTTGAATCAAATACATTTTTACTTAAGTCAATTAAATTGCATTTGATAATAAACAAATAATCAGTTATTTGAATTAAATAAATTTTTTTTTCAGTGTAATTTATGAAAATATTTGTAATAAAAAATATTTCATCACAGTTTTGTTGTTTAGCAAAATTTTTGATTCGTTTTTTGTCTCAATTTGATATCCTGAGAAAAACTGTGATTCATTTGAAAATTTGTAAAAGAAATATTCAATAACAATCTATTCCTAAAAATTGTAAATTAATTTTTGAAATCAATTTTATAAATGAATTTTAATTTCATAATAAATGAAGTTTTAAATTAATTTATACATTATTTAAACAAAAAATTAGAAATTTTTTAATTTTACACTTTTCTTGGTATTAAATAATAAATTAAATAATTTTTAGGATTTAAATCAATTAAATGATATTTGCTTTAAAGCTTCAAATAATGAAATTATTGGACCAAATAGATACAATTTATTTGATTTAAATAAAAATTATCTGATTCAAATAAATATATTTTTGATAACAAACAAGTAATCAGTTCTTTAACATTTTTTTTCTGTATAATAATTAATTAATATTCAATTACCTAATTAATTTAATTTATTTATTTATTAACTAATTAAGGAGAGGATACACTATATTTTTTAAATATTGCAAGAAAATATTTTAAATATTCCGTAAAATTATTTTTATAGTAATTTTTTGTGAGAAATTCAATGTTTATAGAATAAAATGGATCAGAAAATATTTTGACCTTTTTTGCATTTTTATTTTCCCTGAAAATTGATAGATTTTGAAATTCATGCGTAATTTTGTATAGAAAATGTTTTTATAACCGCACATAAAAATTGACGAATGAAAAATTTGATTTTTACTATTTTTTAATCATTATTTTTCGAAAAAATTGTTTTAAATGCAAAAAATGCTGAAAGAGAATATTAAAATTTTTTATTTGACAATTCATTTGTTTATTTCTTTAATTGCAAATCCTAATTTTTTAAAATTTTCCATATCAATTTTTAACTAATTTCAGATTTTAATTTTTTAATTTTTTATATAAAAAAGTTATGATTTGAGATTAGAAAAATAAACAAAATTAAGCATAGATTTCAAAATATATCAATTTATAAGGAAAACAAACATTCAATAGGAGTCATAATATTTCCTGATCCATTTTATTTTATGACCATTTAATTCCTCACAAAAAATTATCATAAAAATAATTTTATGTAATATTAAAAATATTTTCTTATTTAAGAATATCGATGTTCCTTCCCCTAATTAATAAAAATTAATAAATAAAATTACTAATAATAGAATCATAATAAATAAATACACGTATTTAATTAGATGATTGAATTATTTTTAATAAAATAAAGAAAACTAAAACTTTTATTTATTAGGTATTAACATCAATTTTTAATGTTGATATAAAATGTTATATCAAAAGTGTTCAAAGTTTAAAATTTTTCTCTTTTAAATTTTTCGTAATACTAGAGTGCAGGAAGGGCTCATCGATAGGCGAGAAGATTATCATTATGCGAATTAAATGACAAGTTATTTTGTCATTAGAATGACAAACTTGACAGAATAGATATTGACAAACTAACAGGTTACTTACATCAATTTGGTATGATTTTGAAGAAAAGAGACTCACCGAACGTTGTTCCAATTGTTCTTCTAATTCCAATCTCAAATGTTCCAATTTCATTGTCAATAGAATGGTATAGATGATAATTAAATGACAGAATAGTTGGCAGTTTGACAAAAGAAACTAGACAAGTACCCAGCTCTATACTGTTTCTTTCGATGCACAGACTCTTGATTCTGAAAAAAAAATTATTAAAAATTTAAAACAACTTTTTTTCAAAATATTAACAAACTATTTCAGTTAATTAAAATTATTTTTCATAAAATAATGTTTAATAATCTTGATAAGAAAATTCTTAAACTAATTCATAAAATTCATAAAATAAAAGATATTTTATGAAAATATATAAGGGACTCACCGATTATTGATCAGATTTCCAAACTAAGAGATTATAGCAAATTATGTCAAAGTGGCAGAGTGCGGATATTGACAATTATAGAGATTCTTATCTCTTATAAAATCCATCTCCTTTTTGTCCTGAAAATAAAGAAAAATGATTAAAAATAAAAATATAGATAAAAATAAATAAATAAAACAATTTTTAAAAATAAGAAAAAGTTTCGTAGTTTAAAAAGATTTTTAAATTCGCAATTATCCATTTAAATTATTCAAAAACTTTTTTTTATGTTATTATTAATTTTTTTGTTCAGAAGTGTACTTTATTTTCCAATTAAACAAATTATGTTAATGAAGAATAACCATTAATTAATTAATATGTAAACTTTTTGTAAATACAATAAAATGAATGTCCCCAAAGATTTGAATGTTCAAAGGAACAACAATTTTTTTTATATATTTCGGTAAAATTTAAATTTTGTTAAAAAATGTTCTTAATTATTTTTTGTTACTCATTATTTATTGTACTCATTTATTGTACTCATTACTTATTGTAAAAAATTGTAGTAGACCTTTTAAAATTATTATTATTATTATTATCAATACTAATGTCTAATTATTAAAATTGTTAATTGTAAAATATATAATGAATTTAGTATTTACAATTTGCGAAAGTAAAACCTAACTTCACTTTTTAACCTCATTTTTTGTTGTTGCAGAAATAGATAATTAACAAAATAAAATATTGTTAAAAAAGGAAAAATGCATTTACATTATGTAAGATACGAAAAATAAAAGTTGACATAATTTTAAATTGCGATTAGTTTGGAAAATAAAATGTAATAAAATTTCTTTCAAAATTTACACAAGTTTCTAACTATATATGTAACGCATAACTATAATAAATATTTTTATTACCATAATTGCGAAATGACTTTCGCCCATTTTCATAAATGTCAATTCATCCGGAATAGTTCATTGCCCATCGACTCCATCAAACGAGAAACCTGAGAAAATTCAATATTACCATTGTTTTGCCTCATTTTCACAAAATGTTAACAATAATATCACTTTCATGCACTGATTATAATTGACCGAAATTTTTCTGAAAAGATAACCTCAAAAACCTTAGGAACAATTTAACTTTGCCAATTATAAGAATTCATGATTATTTTTTTAATAATTTAGAGCAATTGTTTAAATTTATGCACATTAACAATTATATTTATAACGAAAAGTCGAAATGACCTTGACAACAATGTTTCTTAATAATTCAGATCAATCTTGTCATATTTTATCAAAATCAGTGGATATTATTAGAACACTTGACAAACACAACAGTTAGAACACATTTAATTAAACAATAAACAATATTAATTACCATATTTCACGAAAATAATGATGAGTAATGACAACAAACCGCCACTTTCAATGAGCTGAACGACAATAATAAAAATGGCTGCCTGGGAGCAATGACCTCTGCTCTGATTGGCTGAAATATAAATACAAACTTCTATCATTGGTGGACAAATTTTGAAGCGAATTTCGGTTAGCAATTTATTTTAAAAGTAAATTAAATTATAATTACATTGTAAATAGTCCGTTTTTTCAAGTAAATCGCTACATATTTTAGCAAAGTAAAAATTAAGAACTGCTTTTAGATTTCTACTTGTCGAATTTAATCAGAAAAGATAATTTAAGTCTCAGTGAGTTGTTCAATTGACTAGTGATGTTTTGTCAGTTTTCACTTCCGGTTGCGCATATAGAACGAAGTTAGTCACATTCTGCGCTGACAATTGTTTATAAATGTTTCGAAACTTGTGGACGTTTTGGAAAAATGAAAAGTAGTTTTGATTTATCAAGAAAATGTCCTTTTAATTGGAGAAATATATCAGTGTTCCTTTATACAGTGTTCAAAATGTATTTGTTATTGATTTTTCACTCAAATGGATTAAAATATGGATGAATTTATCCTCTACGCAGAGTAACAAAAAGTGATGGCGCAAGGTAACCTCAAAATATTTCTTGTCAGTTTCATGGTTTTTGTGTTTTCATAAATAATTACGTTATTATATTTCTGTCTTATTGAAAAACTATCGCCAATTAGTAAGTTTATTATTGTTATTAATTATATGCTGCAGAATTTTCTAACCTACAAATATATATATTATAAACATTCATAAATAGTAATTTTATTCTGTTGTTGATGGTTAAGTTCGAATTTTTTCTGCATCAAATTCAATAAAATTAAGTATTTTCTTTATTTTCATTAAACTTAAAATGCGTAAAATTATTCGTGAAATTAAACTTATAAAATTTACCTGCTGATGGCAGAATTTCTATTTATATTTTTCGCAATTAATAAGAATAATATATTTATTATATAATTACTATTTTTATCATTCTTATTAATATTATTATTATCATTCTTATTATTATTATTATTATTAATATTATTATTTACAAATTATTATGATTGATTTTATTCATCATATTAAAAAAAAACATTAATTAGTTTTTGTTTAGTAAAAATAATTATGTTATTAAAATTCTAATAATCAAATTATAAATATTTATGAATCATTTTTCTATTAATTATCTTTTTTTTTACTTTAATAATTTTCTTGGACGCTAGTAAAGCGATCCTATTTTTTAAAATATACTTTTTTATGTATATTAAAAATTAAGCCCCTTAATATAAAGCCGGTGTTTTGAAAATTATGAGGTAAAATTGATATATTTCCATCTAGATTTTTATGCATTCCAGGAACATAGTTAAGAAGGGAATATCGTTGGAGAAAAAGTGCGCATAATCGGAATTATGAGCCTTTCGTCGGAACGTGCGCGAGAGACGAAATTTGGTAAAAGAGACGAAAAAAAGGGAGAGAAAGAAAGAGAAAAAAAAATAACGAAGAACCCAAGAAAGAGCCATTATGAATATATTGGTCGAACGAACAAGCGCGGCCGATTTTATCTCCGGAATTTCGTAGCTTGTCTGAAGCCGCGTGGGAGGATAATACGTCCCCCTTTTCCACCCTCATCTTTCCCCTCTTTTTTTCTGCCCCTTTGAAACATTGTTTTTTAAACTCTTCCTCGCACTTTTTTTTTGCAACTCTTTTTACTTTCCTCGAATTTATCTCCTTAATTTCTTTTCTCCCTTAACTTTTGACTATCAAGTTTCCTGGAATTTGAAATTCTTTTATAATGAGGATTAAGGTCATGTTATTCAGTGGTCACGTGCTCCATATACTTTACTATGGGAACACGTGACCACTGAATAACATGACCTTAAAATGGGAAATAATTATACTATTAATGTATAATAATTAAAATTATAATATTTATTATTATATTATTAGTTGTAATTATTTTCAATCTTATTATTAATTTTTATTGCTTAATATTAATTAAATTTATCACTCGCTGATAATTTTTTCCAATTATTATTATTTATTGACTATTATTATTATCTTCATCATTCTTTAGATCTTTTTTATTCTATTGATTATTATGTAGATAAAAATATTCATCATTTTTCGAAAAATATTTTTTAACTCTTTTTTAATTTATTTCTTCAATTCAAATTCTTTGAATGTCCTTTAGCAGGGTTACCACAGGTCAGGGAATTCATGGGATTTAGGGAAAAGTCAGGGAAAGTAGAATTGGTCAGAGAAAAGTCAGGGATTTTTATTTAAAAGTCAGGGAAAAAATTAAATTTTTTAAATTTATAAGAAAATTTTGAATTTTTGTGTATTTTTTGTTTTCTTCGTAAACCATGAAATTACCACGACTTCTGAAAAAAACCTTAATTTTTTTCTATTTCTGACAATAATTTATTTTAAATAACTTAATTCTATTGACGAACTGCTCCATAAAGTTATTACACTTATAAATCATTTAATAAATTATTTTTTTCAAAAATTTTAATTTCTATTCTGTTGAAATTAGTTTTATTAAAAAATTTTTAACGCAATTTGAAAGAAATCAAATATTTTAATAAATATTAAAATTCATTCCAGAAATTCAATTATTTTCAAAAATTAAAAAACAAAATCTCGTCAACATTTCAATTATTTTTATAAATAGCAAAATTCAATTATATTCACAATTTTTTATAAAATTCATTGTAAAATTCAATTATTTTTATAAATAACTATAAATTCATCACAAGAATTGAATTATTTTCAAAATTAATAAAATTCTTCCCAGAAATTGAATTATTTTCAAAATTAATAAAATTCTTCCCAGAAATTGAATTATTTTCAAACAATCTAAAAATATTGTCAACATTTCAATTATATACCTTTATAAATGAATAGCAAAATTCTTCGACAAAATTCAATTACATTCAAAAATTTTAATAAAATTCATTGCGAAATTAAATTATTTTTATAAATAATAGTATTCATCACAAGAATTCAATTATTTTCAAAAATTTTAATAAAATTCATGGCAAAATTTCAATTATTTTAAAATATTTTTCTTAATTCGATGATTTTCAATATTCTACTATTTTAATAAAATTTCCAGAAAGAATTCAATTATAAAACAAAAATTTTGATAATATTCTACACGAACATTCAATTATCTTCCAAGAAAACAAAAATTTCACAGGAATTCAATTATTTAAAATAGAATTTGCATAAATTTTTTCTAAAAAATCAAATGTTTCAAACTTTGTCATTAAATTCTTCGCAGAAATTCAATTATTTTCATAAAGTTTCAAATTCTTTTCAGGGAATTAAATTACTTTCATAAATAATAAAATCATTTAGAGGGAGTCAATTATTTTCATAAATAACAATATTCATCACAAGAATTCAATTATTTTTAAAAGTAATAAAAACCAATTATTTTCAAACATTTCTCTTAATTCAATAATTTGTATATATCTATTAGTTTAATGAAATTTCTCAGAATTCAATTATTTAAAAACAATTTTTACAAAGTTCTACACGAATATTCAATTGTTTTCTAAAATAATGAAAAATTTACAGTAATTCAATTATTAACTAAAAAAATCAAGTAATTCAAAGTAGTTAAAGTAATTCAATTATTATTATTTGCATAAATTTTTTTGAAAAAAATCAATTGTTTAAAACTTTTTATAAAATTTTACTCAATAATTCAATTATTCTTATAAATAATAAAACTCATTGCAGAATTTCAATTATTTTTAATACAGTTTTAATAAAATTCGTCGGAAAATGGAATTATTTTTTAAAATTTTATTAAAATTCGTCAAAAGAATTCAATTTTGAATTTGCATTTAAATAATTAAATTCTCATAGAATTTTCTAATAAAAATTGATTTAAAAATATTAATTTCAGTTAAAGTTTTAGATAATAATTGAATTTTTGAGAAGTTACTAATAATTGCAATTTTTAGAAATAATTGAATTTTGTAAAGGTCTCAAATTAAAATCTTCGAAAATCTGAAATTTTTCATACTTTTAATTAAAAATTCTATGGAACTAATTTTTTTCAAAAAGTCTAATTGAATTTTTTTTTTTAAATTATTCGAAGTTTTTATTTTCTAATGTATATATTTAATTGAAGAATTTCCAAGTAAGCAAAATTCGTAAACAAATTAATTTGAAAATTCTCAAAACAATTTTATCAAAAATTATTAAAAATAATTGATTTAAAGAAGAATTTTAGTTAAAAATTGTAGAAAATAATAATTGAATTGAAATAATGGAAATAATTTTGAAGAAGCTGCAGTAATAATATTTGTATATTATAATATAATGATTTTATTACTCGTCACCTTTTATTATTATAAAACATGAAGAAATTGAGAACTGTGAGTCGAAGACTCGGAATTATCCATTTCTTCATGTTTTACAATAATATTTTTAAGTTATTGAATTTCAAAAGGTTTGAATTTGAAATTTTTGAAAATCATAATTCCTATGGAAAAACAATAATGATTAAATATTTATTTAAAAATAAAGTTATTGGTATTTTTGCATAATTTTACAATTAAGGAAATTCATAAATAAATG